TTTTGAATGCCAAACAGTAGTTGTTTATTATTTTATTAAAATTTAAGTGAGGGCAAATGTGCCTCATTTGAACATATATCAGTTGCAGTATTTGTTTTTTGATAATTAACTTCTATGCAAGTTATTATGACTCATACCTATTTATTCTTGTTTCCTGGAATGTAAATAAGATTTTGCTTTAGTAACAGACAAGAACACGTAGGCTTGAGTTCTCAAGGGTATGAGTGGGGAGTGTCTTGTGGTGATTCCAGGACTTGTAGGTAGGCATGGCCACGGTTCCAGAACCGCCGGTCCTGGTTCCAGAACCGCCGGTCCTGGTTCTTCAAAGAGGTAGAACCAGAACCGCACCATATAAGATGGTTCTGGTTCTGGTTCCAGAACCGACGGTTCTGGTTCTTCAAAGAGGTAGAACCAGAACCGCATAGTTCTGATTTCGATTCCTTATGGTTCCGGTTCCGGTTCCGTACGATTGTTTCTTTCTTCCGTTGAGAGCCCGAGGACCTCTGTGCAAGTCAGGAGCCCCCGAGAGCAAAAATTGAAGAAGCTCCCTTTTTCTTCGAATACAAGCTTTTTCTTCCGAGCCCTTCTTTGCAATTTTTTCCTCTTGGATCCGTTGAGAGCTTGGTCAAAAAGGTTGTGGTGGATCATGCTGATCATCATGATGTCTCTACTTTTATTATTTTTATATTAATTATTTTTAATTTTTTTAACGGTTCTGGAACCGGCGGTTCTGGTTCTGGTTCTATTTTTTAGAGAACCAGAACCAGAACCTTTATCCAAGGTTCTACTACGGTTCTGGTTCCACGGTTCTGGTTCCGGTTCTGGTCCGGTTCCGGTCCGGTTCCCGGTTCCAAATGGAACCATGGCCATGCGTACTTGTAGGGATTACAAGTCCAGATGCTGTTGATTCCTGGTCTTCTTGTGATTTCTTGTCTTGTGGTGATTCCTGGACTTGTGGGATTACAAGAGATTTGTAGTTAAAGGACCATTTCCGGCAGCTGTTGATTTAGGTATGAAATCAACGTGTGTATTGAAAGAAGAGTATAATGCCACAAATGAATAAACATTGTGCGGGTCTTATTTTCATTTTTCTAAATTTTTTGCGGGCCCGCGGGGGTAGGAAATGGGATGGTTGGTGAATGGAGGAGGGGAGAGTGTGTTATTAACATGGTCATGCTTGGGCGACAAAATTGTGCATCTAAGGACCTTGCAAATCAATAATAATTTGCCCGAAGTGTTCAAGATATTGCAATTAGTACAAAATGATACAGCATCATTAAATTGTACCTTTTTATTTGTTTATTTTTGCTAATATTTTTAGTGATTAGAGCCATACAAATCAAATCAAGACAATACGTTGAAAATGTTAAAAAGGATCTAAGGAATCATAACTAGAACAAAATGATACATTATCATCAATTTATAATAATGTCATTTATTTGGTTAATTTTTCTAATGTTATCATTGATTAGATTTAAAGGGATAAATATAAAGTTTAGAGTATAAAGTGTCCAAAATTGAGAGTTTGGAATGTAAAGCGTTGAAAATTAAAATTTAGGCTGTACAATAAAAAAAAAAAGATACAAGTTAAGAGGTATAAAGTGAAATTAGTCCTTAATATTATGTTTAACAATTTTCTTACCTGTAGTCCTTTCGAACGACCAAGGTCCAATCAAATTGAAACCTTTGCATATGGACCCTAAAAGAGCACGTAGTCGGAGTTGGACCACCATGTACAACGATGTGGAATGGTTCTAGGATATTGCACAAGGAAAGTGGGGCAGGAACGGCTGTTGAAGGTTCAGATTGTATATTGTACATTATTTTTCGTATCATGTGTGAGATTTATAAAATTTTGTTCTATAATTACACGTTATTAAAAGTGAGTTACACCGCATGCAATAAAAGTTACATCTTGTGCATTTCGTACAAATCGACTCGAACGACTTGCCTGACAACCGTTCGGCCTGCGTCCTTGCAAAAGAGTTACATGGCCATGATTTTGGCTTCGTACTTGCGTGGTTTATATGCTTCATTTCTTTCTTTGTTTTCGTTGTTTACGTTGTTGACTCTGATTTATTTTAGAGGAGATTTATTATGTGAATGTTCTCAATTGTTCTCAATTACATTTATTTTTCTCATTTCCATATTAATTATCATAATTTTAGACTTTCCCTAATCTGAAGCTATTGATCTCCCAAATGTCCATACTCGTTTCAAATCATGCTTTATAACTTTTTCTGAAATGCCAAAAAGAATTTGATTGTCGTGCTTTGGGATATAGGACATATTCGATAGTAAAAGAAGCGCAATTTTCTTTGGATTAGGGAAAAAAAATTAAAAACTATATTGATGGGAAAGGCTATCATTATTTCAAATAGAGCAAATTATTCGGGTAGCCACTAAATTTTTTAATAGTCAAGATTTGACCATTCAATTATTAATAGTATGTTTTTACCCACTGAACTATCAAATGTGTAATTTTTGGGTCATTCCGTCTGATTCCATCCTTAATTCTATCAGATCCAAGAATTCGCACAATTTACGAGACATACTATTAATAGTTAGATTTAATAGAATTAATGATGAAATTAGATGGAATGATCTAAAATTTATATTATTTGATAATTCAGTGGCTAAAAACGTATTATTAAAAGTTGAGTGGCCAAAACTCGACTATTCAAAAAGTTTAGTGGCTACTTAGATAATTTGTTCTTTCAAAAACTAGACTGGAATATCCAAAATTATTAAATATTTAAGAAAAATCTATAATCTGCCATCCGTATATTATAACAATCATCTTTCCTTGTTAGATCATTTGCCTATGAGTTTATTATAATTATGTCTTAGGACCTTTCCATAGAATTGCAAATTTACAATTTTCATGTCCTATCAAGTTCAACAATGTGAACCCTCTACCGTTTCAAAATTGTCTATATGATCAACATGTTTGAAGCTACTTAAAGTGAGAAAAAGGTCTGGATGTTCGAATACCTTTACAAAGATTTCTTAGAAGATAATGTGATTGCAACCAAATGCTGCAATGATAAGGTCAATCCATGAAAAGAAAAGAAAGAAAAAGGTGATTGTCTTAATCCTATTTCTATATATGAAATTAAACGATATGTCCATGTAATCAGAGTAAAATCCAAGAGTGGAGAATTCCATGTTCCCAAATTTTTTTTTCCACGCTAGAAGGGTAGGGACAACAGATTTCAAGCCTGAGCTATCCTATGAGGAGGAGCCTCCTTGACATGCTGGCAACTCCCCAGGATAGAATTGTTCACAAATGCAAAATTTGTATGCCCAAAAATTTTAAATAACACAAACAAAATGAATAAAATTATGAAACACACAAACAGCTACAACATATCAGAAACACCACAGAGCCACAACCACAGCCATACAATGAGTGAGAGGCTATCTATCATCAGTAATCTCATCCACTATCTCTTTTCTTCAACTTCATGGCCCAACTCATCCTTAAACCTTCCATACACATTTCTTCTTTTCTTCCTCCTTTACTACTTCCATCTCTCTACTCTTCTACACCTTGTTGGCCGCTTACTGAAAACTGACCTGGTTCATTGAGAGTTCTTCAAGAAATTTAGTCATGGCTTCGGCTGCTCTATCCGTTGCCAATTCATCCCTCCAGGTTATTATTTGATCACAAAAACTCTATATATGTATACATAGCAGAAGTAACTGCATGAGACTTTTAGAACTTGAAAATGATTAAATTGTTGGTGAAAAAATACGTACTAATGCAGGTCAGTAATAAGGGATTCTCTGAATTCGCGGGGCTTCGCAGTTCCTCACTTCCATTTGCAAGGAAAGCAAGTGATGATTTACTCTCAGTTGTAGCATTCCAAACCTCAGTTGTAAGTGAAGAATCTTAAC